TTCCTTAAGCTAATAATAATAAAATATTACTATTTCGATGCATATTTATATCTTTTTCGCCTGTAATTTAATATGTACTATTTTGACGACACGTTTGGCTCAGTTTGTAGTGACCCTACTCGCTGTGCCAGCGGTCGCGGGTTCGAGTCCCGCTGGGGGCATTCATTTGTGTGACGAGAACGAATGTTTGTACTCCAGTCATGGGTGTTTATATTTATAATATGTATGTATTTAAAATTGTATATGTGTAGTGTATCCGGTATCCATAACACAAGCCTCGTAGCTTACCATGGAACTAGATGGTGCTGTGTGTTAATGTCCCAACATATATTGTTATTATTAGATATACTCGCTTCACTCGGGTTTCTTCTCCAGATACATTTTAAATAAATATAAATAATAATTAGCCTGCGTTCAGTGCCGGGTTCAACATTAGTACCGTCTCTCTTCAGTGAAAAACGCCGCCCTATTATGGAAATTTTGTATAAAATAGGTAAGTTTTTGATAAAGTTTTTTTTTTGTTTATTAGTTTGTTTAAAAATGCAAAAAAATTATAAATGATTTCAATTTTATGAAAAAAGTACTAGGATTTTTTTTCATTATTCATTTTTTGAAAAATAAAAAAAGCATTTCCAATAACGCGAAGAAAATTTTTTTTACCACCCTCCGAATTTGCCGCCCTGGGCTCTAGCCCTGCCCCCGAGTGCCTCTAGCGCAAATCCAGCGCTGCCAGCATTAACAGTTATTCTGCCATTCGGAGTGGAGACAAATCCAACACATAAAAGATTATAAAAATCGGTCCAGCCGTTCTTAAGTTGTAGATGGTGCACTTAACCCGACTACGTTTTATATATGTATATAGATTTCTAGTATGACGTTGTTTTTTTTGTGGTTCTGGCTTTTTCGTAGCTAATAAACTAAATTCGGTACTGAAGTGTTTTGTTTTATGAATAATTTTTTAAATCATATTTACATATTGCACAGCCTATTTAGAGATAACTAATAAATATTTTATTTAGGTGGCCTCGAAATTTACAATTTTTATATTTTACAGTAAAATTTTATATAATAACACGCGCATTATAGAAAATTGAATGTGTAATATAAATGTATGGATCATTCATCAAATGGCTTTTGTTAGTGTTCATAATAAAATCTCTAAGAGAGTTTCTGTATAAAAACACCGCAGTGCGTAATTAATCACGTCTTTGAAACGTTTTATCGTAGTATATTATTTTCCATTATTCATGACTAAGAGGTGCAATAAATTATCCCACAGATTAGTTTAAATACGATAAAAAATAAGCACAAACGAAGTGGACGCAAAAAAGGGACGCGCCATTTTGTTCAGATGACATTTCATTTCCCGCCAATTCGTAATGTTGCCAGTATATTTAAGCTATTCCTACCATTCGAAGTTTCGACAGAGGTCCGATGACAACATTAATCATTTAGCTCAAACAATTCATTGTTTGAAATAGAATTACTAATAAATAAGAGAAATAAATTTCTTTTATAGTATAATTTTTAAATTATTAAAAAATAAATGAGTCGATTTCTTTTCATTGTTTGGACTGAATGAATTGGAAATGTCTTTTTTGGTGGTTTTATTTTATTTTCTGTCTATGAATATTTTATCTGTATCTAACCCCGAAGTTTTTTGCTTGTTTACTCGTACTTATTTACCACATTAGTTATTTTAAATTTTGAAATACTTGTGTCATGTAAGTAATTAGCTATTTATAATGTGTTTTTGTAAAATCCAGCAGATGTCAAATACGGTTTGTATTGTTTGTATAATAACGATTTCAGTGTCTATTTGTCTCATTTTTTTTAAGGTACTTGTTACATAAATTCGAATCAGGCAAATTGTTTGTCTAGTTATTAGTGAACGTGTACGACTATTATAGATGCACAGTTCCTGGGTTCGAATCCCGGGACGAGTTGAGTATATTTATTGGGTTTTTCAGGAATTGAATTCTCAGTAACAACCAGAAATTGACGGTGTTACAATCCCGTATTATATAGCATCTAAAACCGAGGATCCTGTGCCTGATCCCTCACTGGTTGTTTTGAAATATCGTCCCACTGGATTTTGAGAGTATAGGAATAGAAAGTATTAACTTAACCTACGCACATACTTTTGCATAAATAAATAATACGAATACACTACACCGATGGCTAGTCTCAAAGAGATAGGCCACCAAAACTGAAATAAGTCAGGGTAAAATGTTTAAAAAAATTGGTAACTTGTTTTTTATTCGTAATTTAAAATGAATTCAGAAGTTCTGATATATGTATGTTATATATTTTTCAATTAAAGGAGTAACAAACAAAGGAGGACGAATAAAAAAAAGAGTATGGAATAAAAGAAATGAAAACATACATTATCTAATCCCACGGGAATAAGCACATGATGTAAATGTGCTATTTATAACATTAAATACGCTTGGAACTTATACCTACAAAAACATTAGAAACCACCCACTTTCACGAATATTTTAGCCCCTTGGTCATGATTAATGGATCGCATAATTTACTCGCTCTTTGCCAGTGACTTCAACGAGTATTTCCGAAGTTTTCATATAAAATTTAGATTTACCTTTTTCGGTTTATTACCAGTCAATCTTTGCTATAGGATTTAATTTAAGTTTTACATTAATACTGCAATATTTTTACACATTGTTATGAGAAATCATATCGAAAAATATTGTATCTTTTGTGTAGGTGGTTTATAATAAATTAATTTAATAGTGATATATTAAAACTTATACATAACTAGTAGCTCACCCGTGCTTCGCTCTGGTTCGTCCCTAGGAACGTTTTAACGGTCAGTATGGAATAGATAGACGAGATATTATATTACTGCTCCACTCCGTTGGGTAGTAGCATGATGATATATAGCCTAAAGCCTTCCTTAATAAACGGGCTATAAAATGCAAAAAAAAATCAAATTGGATTAGTAGTTCCTGAGATTAGCGCGTTCAAATAAACAAACTAACTCTGTCTGTTTATAATATTAGTGTAGATATTTAATTTTTTAATAAAAATTAAACTTAGTGTATGCCCAAATTTTTAATAAAAATTTGGGCATACACTAAGTAATAGAATCTGTCGTGTATGGAACCCTACAGATGTCAGCAACTGATGACATATTATGTTGACACCATGAACCTGACTGCGCCGAAGATTGTTGATCGATAGAAAACATTCCATAGCATAAATCGTATTCATACAAAGCTCAATCTATTAGTTTAGATAATCGTAGGGGTAACATCGATAATATAATCGATTCTCAATCACTGCAGGCATTTGCATTAAGAGTACCCATTTGTGTAGAATGTATATGTATAATAGTTTTAATTTAATATTATTGCAAGAGATGGCACTGTCATTGTAGGTGTAGTTTTCTGAATCGCGCTGTCTAAAGTTTCTGGTCGTTATATATAAGGCAGTTGAAAGATGCGTCATTAAGGTTAAAATTGTGTTAAAATATACGAGTGTTATCAACGAGTAGTATTTTCATTTCTAACACCATTTAACTGCACATGAGATATTATAGTGCACAAGTGTGCATAGACCCTTTCTGTTCATTCAACGTTATACACATAGTGATGTACCATTACCACCTTTCCAAGTTTTAGTTTATTATAAGACCCTCTTGTTAGAAAAATCTGATAAATTGTTTTAGCTTGAATGGAAACCTCATAATTTCAACACGATTTAATTAAGAAACTTGTTAAACCCAGAGCGGGATTTGATGGAGGGCAACTGGCATTTCTCCGGGTCCCCATATTAGAGACTAGCTGTTCAAAGATCAATTTTTATGTGAAAAATATGGTAAATTTGAGAAACCAAAAATAAAAGGACTGCTAAAAATTTCTTTGTAATATTCATTCTTTCTTAAAGATACATAAATATTTGAAAATTTAAGTAAAACTGTGTGGATTTTTTCGGGAGAGACTTCCGTGACCATTGACCATGATTGCTGTAAAGCCGTAACCAAAAATCGAATCAAATCCGCGAAAAAATCTTTGCAATATTCTTAGGGGCCTCAACTCAATTGCCCCCACACTTTTAAATCCGGACCTGGTTAAACAGTTTCCGTTTGCAAATAAAATAAAGCAAAATCGCACCTGAATATTTTAACCCCTTATCCCCTGACTAATGAGCCGTGTAACTCGTGTATTTTAGTACAAGCATCTAAGTTAACCTATTTTATGCCATAATGAATGATTAGATTTGCACTAAATGATCTATGATCGAGATGTGCGATTTGCCTACTGGTAAATTGAAGTTTATAGAAAAAAAAACTGTAGGGATTGCATAAATAGGAACACAGCAAATTTTTATTTATTGCAAGTTTTTTTTGTATTTTATTTGTCTTTTCTTTAAAATTATTGTATACTTTATGAGTAGAAACTATCAGTAGGAACTGTAACTTTTTGAGGCTTTAAAGACTTTAGCCCCTGTCATGACCATGTTGGGAACGAAAAAAAAAACTGCGAAAAAGTTATAATTATTTGCATTGCAAATATTTGCTTCAAACATCAATTCAAAGACAGTTGCAGCATACCTCAGTAGAGCTACTACGTTGGAATTTAGACCAGAATCTAAATTTATCTAAAATCACGTGAGTATCTTCCTATATATAGTATATACCTGGTCAGGGATTTTCATCTTTTATTCTCCTCCCTTTTTTATCACAGGTGGTAAAGTGCGAGTGATGCAAGTAAATACTTATATGACATATATAGGTAGTTCTTATCTAGACTAGACCATTTTTTAATTACCATCTTCACAGTATAAAAATAATTGAAATCGAATTTATTCTAGAACTTTGTATAAAAGTTAAATTGTGTCCAGAGCCTTATAAAAATAATCGAAAAATAGAAATATTTAAGTAGTCACGATTACAAATTAAAATTCCCACCGCACTGCATTTCTATTTCTTTGCGCTAATCTGTGAAAGTATCTTACCAATTTTCATAAGGCTTTTA